GCCAGCTCACGTGCGAGCGCTCGGCTTTGACCGGCACAGTCCAGTGGTTTTGCAAAGTGGATTTTTAACTAATTGAAGCTCCCGCTGGCGATATGTGAGAATTCTAACTGTTCCACCTCTTTGCCAGCATTTAGTATTCTTCGTAGTTCTTTGCAATTTTAGAAATTCTGGTGGGTTGTGTAATGACATTTTGTTGTAATTTCAATTTATAGCGCTCCGAGACAGGGTGAAATTGAGCACATTTTCATATGTAAATGATCACTTGCTACTCCTTTTATGAAGTGTCTGTTCAAGGTTTTTGCCAATTATTTCTCAGATTGGGTTATCTCCCTTACTGGTTTTTATGTGTTTGATGTGTTTTGAATACGAACCATTTATCAAATGTACATGCGAACAAAAAAAAAAGAATCACTTATCAGTTACATACATTATAAACATTTTCCACACTCTGTTCATTCCTAATGGTATCTTTCAGTGAACAGAAATGGTTACTTGAATGTAGCCCACATAATAAGTTTGTCCTCTTTATTGGCTAGACACATTTTGTGTCTTGTTTTAAAAAACCCTTACTTCTGACAAGACACAAAGACTTTCTCAGCTATAACCTTCCACAGGGTTACATTTTTACCTTTCAGCGCTGATTTGCCGTCTGTCTGGAGCTGGCTGGATGTCCGGGTGGGGGAAGAGGACGGTGTTTATTCCCAGGGGGCTCACGACCGTTCACTGAAGGCCATGGGGGCAGCTCCGCGGTCGCTGTGTAACAAAAGCCACCTCAAACTCCGTCCCTCACAACAGCTACCGCTGGTTTGGGTCACAACATGGCCCATCAGCCATGTGGGCCGAGGCCCACTCGGGGCAGCCAGCTGCTGGCTGGGCGGGGGCCCCTGTCCCTGGGGTTCGTCATTTCGTGGCAGGGTCGCTGGGGCCGCTTCACAGGGCGGCGGGGATCCGAGAGATGCCGGGGGCACGAGGGGGCACGTCATCACGCGAAAGCCCTTTTCAGTCTCTGCTTCTGTCACACTTGCTGTCACCCCTTTTGGCCGGAGCAAGGCCGGCGGCCAACCCCAGACTCCTTGTGGGAGGGGACTGCCCCGTCACGGACACCGGAGACGCGGTCAGTATCGGGGTCCGTCCTGCAGCAATCTCCCTAAACCACCCTTCGCCGACAGCACCGAGTGCTCGCCCCCTCTCGCAGAGGCACGGGCTGCGTGCGTGTGAGCTGGCTTTGTTTCGGACCCTGTCCCCTCTCTCTCTCTCTCTCTCCTTGTCCTCGGGCCCAGGGCGGGTGATGGACGGCCTTGGCCCGCCTGCCTTTGGCACCTCGGACGTGGCACCCGGACGCCTCTGACCTTGTTCCTCCTCAAGACTGCCGAGGCTCGTCCGCCCTGGGACGCAGGGGCATCTGTCTCCCTCCCGGACTCTCAAGCGGAAAGCTTGAGCCAAGACGGTGGGGGGGAGGGGTGACTAAAACAGTAATTAGCAGGGAATCGTTATGTTCAAGCCTGACACACTCATTAGTCTTGAAGAACGGAACCCTGAAAAGGCCGTTTGCATGCAGACGCTCCCCGAGTTCGGGCGGCACCCCGTCATTAGCCTAGGCCCTGGCCGCAGACTCCTCCCCCGCTGTCTTCCTTCCTAATCGCCACGCCGTCCCGGCCGCCTTGTCGCACGAATGCAGCCACGCTTCTATCCGGAGCCTTGCCTGGCAGCAGAGCCACACGCTGCACTGTCCCTCCGACACCAAGGCAGGCAGGTGCCCCTCCTCCCGCCGAGGGGGCCGAGGCCAGGGGACAAGACGCTTGTCCAGGGCGAGTCCTTCCTTCCTTCGTTTCTTGACAGGGGCCCGTGAAATATTAATTGCACAGCCACTTCCCGCGAGACCCACAGGACACGCAGACGGACAAGGGCCCTTGTCACAGAGGGGCAGTGAGCTAACAAATGAATTCTTGAAACTGAGAGAACGTGATGACGCTGGGAAGGAAGGGGGCTGGGCCCTGAGCTAAAAAATGACGGGCGTGCGTGGGCCCCCTGGGTGGGGTTGGGTCTTAGGTTGGGTCTCCCTAGACGCAGACCCTGACGTGAGGATCCACGGGCCAGTAGTGACAGTCCGTTAGGGGTGCTCCCAGGTTCCCGGGAGGGCGGGGAAGGGAAGGCCGCTAGTAAGGTGTGTGTTACCACCAGTTACCTTACCAGCAGTCACCTTACTGCTAGTAAGGCAGCAGGTGCCACTGTGGGCGCCTGCAGGCTGTGGGGTGCAGTGCGGAGCACACCCCGGAGTCCTCGCTCTGTGGTTGAGACGCAGGACAGTGGTCCAGCCGTGCCCGTCAGTCAGGGGGGAGGGCTGCTCCCGGCGTCCCTTCCGTTCGGGCTATTCCCCACCCGACGTGCAGGGCAGACCCCAGGCCGGGCTCCAGAGACAGCCCACCAGGAAGAGGTGCCGAGGCTCGCATTGTGTGTGGGGGTGGTGGTGGTAAGGACCGAGGGGCGGTGGGTGGGCACCCCCGTCAGCTGTGAGTTTGTGTTGGTCGGGGAGTACCGAGAAGCGGGACCAATAGGATGGGTGGGTGGATGGACGGATGGATAGATAGAGATGTATTCTAAGGAACTGGCTCAGAAGGCTAAGTCTCGTGATGTACGGTCAGAAAGCTGGAGACCCGGGGCGCCCACGGCGTCCGGTTCGGTGTGAAAGCCAGCAGGCCGGAGGAGACCCAGGAGGAGCTGACGTTTCCTTTCGAGTCGGAGACAGCTGGTTTCCCCGCTCGAGCAGTCAGCCGGAAGAATTCTCGAGTCCTCGGAGGAGAATCAGCCTCCCCACGCCCACCGCGGGCCTTCCACGGATGGGATGTGGCCCACCCACCCTGCGGAGGGCCGTCTGCTTCGCCCAGTCTGCCGATTCGGACGTTACCGTCACCCAGAAGCTCCCTCCCAGGCACACCCAGAGTGGCATTTCGACGAACACCTGGCACCTCGTGTCCCAACCAGGTTGGCACGTAGCGTTGACCATCACAGGGTGGTGCCAGGAAGTCTCTGTGTGTCAGGGAGAGAGCTGGGCGGAGGCTGGGGAAGCGGACCACACGGCTGCGCTTCCCAGAGAGCTGGGGAGCGGGAGGCAGGGTCGGGGGCGAGAGGAGCCCGGCCGCTCCAGGGGTTGCCAGGGGGCTGGCCAAAGCGAACAGACAACGTCCGCTTCCTCAGCAGGTGTGACCGAGTGCCTGCCACACGCCAGGCACGGGGAAGGAGGGCGAACTAGACTGGGTGAAGCTGTCCCGTGGCTGTGCCGTGTCGCCCTTCTGCAGAGAGTCCGTGAGCCTGTGGCTGCCTCCCTCCCTCCCTGCCTTTCCTCTCCCCTCCCCCATCCCTCCTCCTCCCTCTCCCCCTGCGCCTCACGGTCAGTGCTGCCACGCAGCCCCCACGCCCGAGCCCGTGGCTCACATCTGCAAGCCTCAGCACCCTCGCTGGTCTGTGGGTTGGCTCTGCTGCCCCCGGCTGGACACTGTCCCTCGTCTGGGGACCGGCTGGTGGTCAGTGTGAGACCACTTCGCCAGGGACAGGCGGGCTGCAGGGGCTGCCCGTGTCTCCTGGTCCCCCAGGGAGCCCGGCCGTGTCCCTGGGCTGGAGGTGGACTAGCAGGACGGGAAGTGGACACACGCACAGGCCCTTTCCCCGGCCTGGCGCGGGTCCAGCCTGCCAGCCCCCCGTCGGCGGCTTCCGGTCACTGCGGGGGGGGCCGGACAGAGAGGCAGTAGTGGGGAGATGGCCTTCAGCGCTGGAGCCAGCAGGACACCTCGCAGGGGAGGAGGGTCGCGGAGTGGGGAAGAAGTGGGGTGATTAGTGCTGTCCGTATGCCGCAGCCCCAGACCCCCCCCCTCGGCCCCTGCCTGTCGAGAGCGGCCCTGGGCTGTTCGCCAGACTCCGACGCCAGGCCGGCCTCACCGCCGGGGATCTGGTCCTGGGAGCTGAAGCCTACGGTCTCGAGATGATGAATACCCGACATATACAAGGAGGAATTTTTAAAAGATGATCTAGGTATTTAATGACTAGCTATTAATTCATTTAATTTAGCATAAGTCAAAGGGATGTTTTTGAACAATGTTATTTATTTATTTTCAGAGGGGAAAGGAGGGAGAAAGAGAGGGAAAGAAACACTGATGTGTGAAAGATACATCGACTGCTTGCCTCTCAAGCGCCCCCAACTGGGGACCTGGCCCGCAACCTACCCATGTGCCCTGACTGGGAATAGAACCAGCAACCTTTCGGTTCACAGGCCGGCATTCAATCCACTGAGCCACACCAGCCAGGACCTCTGTCATCCTGACTTAGCTCTCAGAGGGGTGTCCACAGCCTTCAGTGTGCAGCCGCACCTCGCTCTACTTGCAGGGGTGTGGAGAGAAGCCAGACCGGAGTGAGGCGCTGAAACAGCAAGGGCTACGGCATGGAGGCGGGGACGAGGCAGGGTGACCTGGGAGGAGGGCGTGGGCTCATGGCCCTCGCCTTCCGGGAGCTCAGGATGCCAGGGCGCGGGCTGGCATCCAAGCGGGAAGGGACCGTGAAGTGCTCGCGGCAATTGCAGGCTCCAAGGTTCTATAAAGGAAGTGGGATGAGCTTCTCGCACACTGGGGCAGGATAGTTGCGTTCTGTGTGCATGAGCTAAGCGTGCCAGGTGGACGAGATGGGGACCAGGCGTGGGGGGAGGTCATCCTGGCGGAGGGGACCGCGGCACGTACCAGGATCTGGCAGTCCAAGTGTGCAAGGCGCTCTCTGTCATCCCTCCCGCCCCGGACCCGCTGGGGAAGCGTTTGCTGCCGTGGGGGTGGGGGTGGGGGCGGGAAATGCTGAGAGCGCCCACTCTGCAGTGGGGCGCTTCTACCACGAATGAACGCCACGGAAACCGGTAGCCGTGTGGGATACATGGGTAGGCACGTAGGTAAGGACTTCTGGGAGCCAGTACGAGCTGTGGCGTGTCTGACTTGTTTCTCCCCTCCCCCCTTTCTCTTTTGCAGTCAACTTTGACCATTTTCAGATTCTGCGGGCCATTGGGAAGGGGAGTTTTGGAAAGGTAAGAATGATGGATCTCAAAAAAATCCCAGCAGCGAGGGACGCAAGTCCCGCCTGCTGGGCGCGGGTCGGTGTGTCTGGTTTCCTGCCGGCCGCTGGGCGCGGTTCGACAGAACGCTCTGGACCCGCCACGTCTGACGTGTGAGAGGAAGTCTGAATGCTTTCCTTCGGATCCGCTGTGATTTCATTCTGCAAATTAAGTTACCACGGCAGCCCTGGCTAGGTGAAGCACAGCGGTAATTATTTCAAGAGCTCTAATGCCATTTCTCCCTCGAGGATCTAAATGAGGAAAGTGGAAAAAACCCACAAACCCACGAGATGGCCAACATCAGCTCCTTGCTGCGCCGCAGGCATTTCATTTAAAAATTCTGTTTGGAAAGAGCACTTGACGTGAGAGCCACCCTCCCACCGAAACTTAGTGTGCGGCGCGTCACCCCCCGACTGTGGACGCGGTGCACTGCAGCGGGTCCCCGGGGCCCTCCGTCCCGCTCCACTGAACTCTGTGCCCGCTAGTTAGTGACTTGCCGTGTCCCCAGGGGCCTTCCCTGACTCAGCCCCTGGTTCTGTGACCTTGACTGTTTTGGACCCCTCGTTTACGTGGAGTCACGCAGTGGGGTCATGTCCTCAGGAGGCACCCACATGTAGCACGCTGCAGATTTTCGTTCTTGTGTAAGGCTTTTGTTGTGCCCTTGCACCTCGTTTCCTCACTCCCGTGTCTGTCCCCCTGACCCAGATGTGTCCACCTGTGTCACCACCGGGCTGTGGGTCAGAGGGCAGCTCAAGGAGCAGTCTGTGTTGGTAAGGGGCATCTCGTCCTTACACAGTGTCCTCGGGCAAACAGGGGTTTCCCTTGGGGCGGCTGCCACCCCCGGAGTCAGTCAGTCAGCGAGGGCTTATGAGCGTGCAGGGCGTGGGCAGTGGCCCTGTCCGTGGCGCTCACACCTGGCTGTTGTGATAAATCGATGAGGTTAAGCAGCGCCGTTCCCGGCACGAAACCAAACCAGCGCCCGGTCAGCGTTGCTCCCCTCCCTGCGCAGGGCCCCTCCCTCCCAGGCCGCAGGGAGCGGGGAGAGGAGGCTTGAACTAGATGTGCTTTTTGGAGGGAGGCAGTAGCAGTGGGCGTGCCTGGTTCTTGCATGGGGGGGGCGCCTTTGTTCGGGCATACGGGTGGCACTGGGACAGGCAGGGCTGTGGTGCGCATTTCAGTTCCCAGAGCATCTCGTCACGTGTGACATGTCACCGTTGATAAGCGGTGGGACGAGGCTGGGCGAGGCTCATGATCTTTCACAGCACTCATTCTTCCGGAAAACCACACAGTTCTGTGTAGCAGGAGCCTTGTTGTTGAGTTTTCTCTAATTCTGTTGTTGGTAGTTTGTGTACAACTGATATAAAGTTAGCCAGCTCAGGCTGGTGTCTTCATTCTTTTATCCGTTCATCCATTGATTCATTCTGCCATCCAGGGATTCAACCATCCATCATCCATCCATCCATCCATCCACCCATCCTTCCATCCATCCTTCCATCCATCCATCTTCCTTCCTTCCTTCCATCATCCATCCATCCATCCATCCACCCATCCTTCCATCCATCCACCATCCATCCACCCACCATCCATCCATCCTTCATCCATCCTTCCATCGATCTATCCTTCCACCTATCCTTCCTTCCTTCCTTCCTTCCTTCCTTCCTTCCTTCCATCCATCATCTGTCATCCATCCACCCATCCTTCCTTCCTTCCTTCCATCCATCCATCCATCTTCCTTCCTTCCTTCCTTCCTTCTTTCCATCATCCATCCATCCACCCATCCTTCCATCCATCCTTCCATCCATCCTTCCATCCATCCATCTTCCTTCCTTCCTTCCTTCCATCATCCATCCATCCACCCATCCTTCCATCCATCCTTCCATCCATCCTTCCATCCATCTTCCTTCCTTCCTTCCTTCCTTCCTTCCATCATCCATCCATCCATCCATCCACCCATCCTTCCATCCATCCATCTATCCATCCACCCATCCTTCCATCCATCCATCTATCCATCCATCCATCCATCCATCCATCCTTCCATCCTTCCATCCATCCTTCCATCCATCCATCCATCCATCCACCTTCCTTCCTTCCTTCCTTCCATCATCAATCCATCTACCCATCCTTCCATCCATCCATCCATCCTTCCATCCATCTTCCTTCCTTCCTTCCTTCCTTCCTTCCTTCCTTCCATCCATCATCCATCCATCCATCCATCCACCCATCCTTCCATCCATCCTTCCATCCATCTTCCTTCCTTCCTTCCTTCCTTCTTTCCATCATCCATCCATCCACCCATCCTTCCATCCATCCTTCCATCCATCTTCCTTCCTTCCTTCCTTCCTTCCTTCCTTCCATCATCCATCCATCCATCCATCCACCCACCATCCACCATCCATCCATCCTTCCATCGATCTATCCATCCTTCTATCCATCCATCTATCCTTCTTTCCTTTCTTCCTTCCATCCATCCATCATCCGTCATCCATCCACCTATCCTTCCTTCCTTCCTTCCTTCCTTCCTTCCTTCCTTCCTCCCACTCACTGTGTGGAGGATCACGTCGTTCGGATCCTGTTCTAGGTTCTGAGGTTACAAAAATGAACCAGGTATGGTGTCTGCTTTTGGGGATCTCTCAGATACATGCAGGAGGCAGAGAAATGAACACAATTAAAGTCCAGTCTGAAAAACACAGATGGAAGAAAGCCCAGGAGGAATGGGTATATAGGGGCAAGTTTGGAGGATACAAAACTCAGACTTCAAAACTGACCCTCTCTGTAGAGGGCAGGGTTGACCAGATGTCTATGTACTATAATACTTTCTAACACTTCACTGTGAAAATTTGCAAACATACAGCAAAGTTGAAGGGGTTTTATAGCCAATGCCCATCCGAATCCACCCTCCACATTCTACAATTAACATTTACCAAGCTTACTTAATGAAACACCTATTCTGTTCATCCATCAACCCATCTTTTTATGCATTTTTATAGTAAATCGCAAATATCTGTACACTTACCCCAATTGTTTCAGCACAGAGATTTGTCTATAGTTTTTCTGTTGCTGTAAAAGCACATACAGTGAAATGCACAAACCTCACGTTTTCAGCTGTGTTTTAGAAATGCATCCACCTGTGTCACGTGAGCACCCACCGAGATATAGAATATTACCATCACCCAGAGTCCCCTGTCCACCCTTACCGGCCAGAACTCAGCTGTGCTGACCCCGCCATCCTCCACAGACTAGAGTTGCCTGCTCTAGAACTTAACAGAGATGAGACCATGCAATAAGCACTTAAATGTGGCTTCATAGTATTTTGCATAATGATTTGCATCACAATGTTTTGGGGGGTTTATCCATGTCGTTACCTACCAGCACTTTATCCTTGTCACTGATGAATAATATTCCATCCTATCAACCCAGCGATTTCCACCCGTGTGCCCCAAGAATTTCTAAGTCAGGCAATGCCTGACTATACAGGGGCATGGACCTCTTTTCCCTTGGATTGTCCAGTAAAAAATGACAACAGCCAACACAACAATAGCCGTCCAGTGTGAACAAATCAAAATCATACCTCTTTTTTTAATCAAATTGGCCAAAAATAAATTTTTGGGCGTGCCGCAGAATTTTAGTAGTTAGTCTGTGTGTGGCGTGAGATGAAAAGGGTTGGCAGTCGCTGTGTGAACACATTACAGTTTGTGAATCCGTCTTCATCACCATGGACTCCACGACTGTTTCTAGTGTTTGTGATTTTGCAGAAAGTTGCTGTGACAATTTCTAGTCTTTTTTGAGAACACACAATTCCATTTCTCACGGGTTAATATCCGGAATTGGCATTGCTCGGTACAGAGTAGGTGTTTATTTAGTTGTGCACGGAACTGCCAAAAGGCTGTGCAGTGTGGCGGCACCGATTCACGCTCCCGCCGAGGCCGCCGTCTGCTGCACACCCTCGCCGGCATCTGGTGCCGTCGGTGCTTTCCGCTGGGGGTGTTCTGGGTGTTCCGTAGTGTCTCCCTGCGGTTTTAATTAGCATTTCCCTAACAAGAAATGGTGATGCACATTTTTTCATGTGCTTAATGACCAGTCATACATCATCGTTTGTGCAGTTTCTGCTCAAAACTTATTGCCATTTTTAAAAATTGGGTTGTGTTACTGTTATTCAGGTGTGGGATATCTATATTCGGCTACCAGTCGTGTGTCAGGTCTGAGACTGTTCTCGTGAGCTGTGGCTCACCCACTAATGTTATTAGTGGTGTGTTTGGGCGCGCAGGCCTTTTACGTTTTGATGAGGTCTAATTTACTGAATTTTCCCTTTCACGGTTATTGCTTTACGTGACTTGTGTAAGCAAACTTGGCTCCAGGAAATATGCTCGAGTCACAAAGATACTTTCCTATGTTTCCTTTATAAAAGCTTTATGGATTAGTTTATAGTTTTGGAATTAAACTTTTGGAATTATATTTTTGAATTAAGTTTTTTGTATGATGTGAAGTAAGGGTTGAGGTTCTTTTTTTTTTTTCTGCATGTGGATACCCATTTCTTTTTTTTTTGTTTTGTTTTATTTTTATTTTTAGAGAGGGAAGGGAGGGAGAAAGAGAGAGAAACATCAATGTGCGGTTGCTGGGAGTCATGGCCTGCAACCCAGGCATGTGCCCTGACTGGGAATCGAACCTGCGACACTGGTTCGCAGCCTGCACTCAATCCACTGAGCTACGCCAGCCAGGGCTGCATACCCGTTTCTTGAAAAGGCTTTCCTGTGCATGTCAGACCAAGTTGGGGTCCCTGTGAAGAGCGGGTGCCTTGGGCACGCGGGAGCTCCCCTTCTGGGCCCTGTCCTGTTGACCTTGCCTGCTCATCCAAGTGCCAGACTGTCGTAATTTACAATAAGTCTTGAGATCAGGTAGCGTAAATCCTCCAACTTTATTCTTTTCCAAGATTGTTTGGATGTTCTAGGTCTTTGGATTTGCATACACATTTTGAA